GGGCAATTTGAAGATTTTCTTTAGACTTGTTCTTATATACATATGAATTAATTGTATCTATACGTACTAAATTGATATGCTGGTTTGATGTTAGATTCAATTTGATCACAATGGTAATTTGTTTTTTAATCTACAAGCTTTAATTGCTTGCCAGCTTCCATGAAATTTACCAAAAATTTTATTCCCTGTAGTCCTTTCTTGCCTTTTGTGCCCAGAAATTGGGGTGATTGGCCTTTGTAACATCGGAGTTTAAGCTGAACTGAAATGACAAATAAGAGCAACTACAATTTTCAAATATCGTAAGTGACGTTGTCTTTCACCCTCAGAATCGCAAATCTGTTTCAAAAAAGGTGCATTAACTGTAAGATGGATTATTCCATGTTGCGAAATCTATTAAATGTTGCCTAATCAATCAGATGCTAAATACCCTTCCATCAGGTTATATCACTCTTTGGATCACCCCTTGGACCCTTTTTAGGCCCTTGCAAAAAAAGTTGTGGATGTTCTACTGTAAAACAGTAAAGCAGGGACTTCGTGCAAATCGATGTGAAGCCACCCCGTGAACTATTGTATACGTCGAACTACAATTTATATTAAAAACTTTACGGACATTGTGTCCTGTAAAAGTAATTACTACCATTTATCTTACCTGGGAGAGAAACAATTGAGAGGTGAGTCCCTTTTAGTGAGAGATGTAAATATTATTTAACAACTTTTAATATTTAATCGCAAATGCGTGGTGTGAGAAGAGCGTATATAGATTAATGTCAGGAACCCAAAGACAACTCGCCACATAGGTTTAATAATCAGGGATGTGCATGCCCTCATCGCCGCACTCTTTTTTGTATTATCGCTCTTATTCAGTTCCGCTGGCAATTTGCTATTTGCAATTATTTGGCAAAGATTATTATCATCGCATATTTTTCCCAACACCATCGGTTTATAGACTACCCATTTATCTGAAAATGCTTCCCAAGTTGACCTCTCTAGTTATTGTAACCATTAGGAGTGGCTCATGCTGATATCGTACGCGCTTAGATCAAAGCAGCAAAAACAAAAGAGAATGTAAAGCGAAGAGGAAGACAATGTGGTTTTAGCTCTGCTTGTAGAATAATTTTCTTTGATGAATGTTCCAAAATCCCAGAAAGTCTGTTTGATCGTGCTGGCGAGAAAAACATCATAAGCTAGATGCGATTGCGTTTCGAAAATATGTGAAGAAAATGATCTGGAAAACAAAAATTCACTAACAGAAAAAATGAAAGTACAAAGGGAAGGCCCATTCCTTGAGCCAAAGTCGAAAAAAACTTTTGATTGCGTTAAGCTCCCCTGGTGTGATTGAAAAGCGGCATTGGGTGTTAAATTAAATGTGTAACTAAGAGCTTGGATAATGAAACTGTTGGCTATATCTATTCACAAGCAATTCAAGGTTTATATAATGTCTAGCTTCTGGATCTCTATATTCATTGAATTTGCAGGACGAGACCAAGATAATTCTCCTTATAATAAATAGCTGAGAAGGTCATGAGGTTATGTGGAAACATTTGGAGCCCCATTAGTCCATACTAAGAAATGGCACTGTAAAAAGGAATCATACACACAATTTAAATCCCCATTTGACATTCTATCTGTAGTCCAAAAGTTCAAATCAGTAAACTTTGTCTTGCATCATGGAAGTGATCTAAGGAATCAAGTGTATCAATTTAATGCCTTCCAGAGAAGAATATAATCGACTATTAGGGAATGATTTAACGGCACAAATAGAACAAAACTAGCTATATTCAAATTCTCTCACTTCGGAATTATCTAAAAGATGTCTATTATTCTGCTATGAATTAACTTTAGTTCTCCACACGAAAGTGTTGGAGAAACAAGTGATATGTGAAAAAATGAAATGTTTTGAAAGCCGAGAGAACCCTAAAAATGGCGTCGAGAATAAGAAAAAATGGCAAAGCACAAAAAGAAGCCTTGTAGTACTTCCGAATGTTAGACCAAAACCTAGAAAACCATGCGCTTAAAAAATCAATTTTTCATGAGTACATAACCTCCTCACACATTCTATTTTATTTAGTTCTCTAAACTCATTAAGGGATAAATTTGCGGTCTCAATCATCTTTTTATGTCTGGGGAAAACATGAGTGTCGATTATTTTCCTTTAAAATACACAACTCCGTCTTAATTTTTTATTTGTTACTTTTTTTTGTGATATCTCAATAATTATCTTCCTGGTAAAATTTGCTTTTTTGTAAAACCTCATCATTGATATATAGCCTGAATAATTTTATGAAACAAAATATATGTTTTCATTTCTTCTTCAATTCCTTATCAAGACAGAGATCAAAAAAGCAAACCACAAAGACAATTATATTAAGTGAAAAAGCATTCTGAGAATTTGAATTGTGAGACAACGAGTCGTGTAGTACACCCTCGCTTGAAACTATGATCGTTGGGGTCCAGGAACATTGTACCACACATCGAGTTTCCAAGAACCTTCAATCTGTCTTTCAAATTGGAGTCTCTACAATTATAGGACACTAAAGCACATCCACCAAAAAGCTATTGTCAAATTGTGTATTCGTAAACAAGTCGAAAAGCTCAACACATAAGATTATACTTTTATCGCAGGTTAACGGTATTCCCTTTGTTTTCCAAGAGGTTACTAAATGCTTTGCAGTCTGTGAAAAAGACCAGCTAAGACAATGGATCTCTAGGTAGGCAATATAGGTTTACTAGATAGTTAGATCCACGATGAATCAGGCATTTTATAATCCACAGTTTTCTCAGACATATTGTAATTTATTCTGACGATGCTAGAATTTTGTTTCTCAACACCTAATGTTTCAACTTTCATTATTTTTCTTTATTGTTGTGTCAAAAACGTAATATTTTAGTAAAATATTAAACAATGATAAAATCAAAAAGTGATGGTATTGTAGATTTATTCCCGGAGGTTGATCTTTTTTCTCACTTAATCTTACATTGATAAACAAATTCTTTCATGTGAACTATTTCCGTATAGCCTAGGTGCCAAAAGATGAAACCAATGAGAGAATAGATTGATAATTTCACATCTCTCCCATTGCATTATAATTTTTATAAAAAAAACAAAGAAGTGCCAAAATTAGACTTATATTAATTTGGCATTTATATAGGCCCCGTAGATGGTTCTGAGCGTGAGATTTTTTGACAATTGCCCCCAGTGTTTTAGTTTATTTCGATTTTGAAACCTTAAATTAAATAATATATTTATAATTTTTTTAAATTGCCCGATTTTAGATTTGTAGAGTCTCTCGGATTAATAATGATATAAATGTTACCGCTGATTGTAATAAAAACCTTTGTACTAAACCCCAATTATAAATTAAAAGTATTCTATTAAAAATTGTTTATTTGTTTTAAAAAGAATTATAACTAAATATAAACAAAATTAAATGTGCAGAGTTTGCTTTGTATAAAGAATTTAATGTTTTATTGCCATGTTTCAACCTGAAAATCAGTGTACCTAGTAGTTGTTAATAATAATAAGAAAATATCATAAAAAATCCTAAAATATTGTACTTGAGGTCGCTTTTAAATAAAAATATAATTTAGATATATACCCGTTCCCTATTATTCTTGATATTAATATACAAAAAAAAAAATCAAGTAATCCCCTACAAAAAAATTTTTTTAGTAGATTTGCAAGCCCTTATATTGTCCTATGTCGTTATAGATATCAACCAAAGCTAGTGAGATCATATGAATAAATAATTGCAAAAACAGTGTGAGAGGCTAAGTTTTGTACACTATATTGGTGTTTATTGATTTAAAAGTTCTCAACCTTGTGATCAAAGTCCTATTTCCTTCAAGCTCAAATTCTAAATTTGAGCCCTGTCTGGCAGGTAACAAAAACGACGAAACATTAAATGTTATAAAGTCAAAAAGAGAAGAGTACACACCAAGCTCACTTTCTTAATGGTGCACACACTCAAGAATAGGAAAACAAGTTCTAAAAAGAGTCTCTATGAGCAAAAATTCGTTAATAAAAAATATGCACAAGAGAACAGGATTAGTGATAATACCCTTGCTAATTTGGTAATTATGCAAATCAAATATCATAAGATGGAATATGAACTCCCGAATTATGATGAATTTCTAACATTTACGTGTTTTTGCATTTAGTAATGGAATAAAAAAAACTATTTTCTTTAATAGTTAACTAAAATTTGATCTCAATAGAAACTTGTAATTTTCAATAATTTGTAAATGGTTGAAAAAAATTTCACATAAACAAAAATGTAAAACATCTATTTAAAACACCATGATTATATGACATTTTTCCCGAAAAGTAAAATTTCGAATAAAATATGTTATAAAAACAATCCCAGAAGTTCAATTTAGTGAACAAAAACTCTTCATCGTATAAAGCACTATCTAAAAAAGATTGGATATAAAGTAGCTGTCTCCAAGAGAGTTATTTTAAGAAAACTAAAAAATAAAGATAACAAATTCAAAATTATTTCGAAATTTTAACCTAAGTCCCAAATATAACAAAACTTCTTATTTATAAAAAATAAAAATAAATAAATTGATATATTCTTACATACTTTATAAATTAGTGATTTTCTATACCCTAAAACCCAGAAGCCCCGTATTGGATTTCAGATGGTATAGACAATAATGACCCATCCAGATTAACCATTAATTGGCGAAACTATCTGTGTTATGATAAAAAACATATTAGAATTAAAAATTGCCTTTTATCCCGCTACCCTTCAATACCTTGATATATATATATATATATATATATTAGGAGTCCAATAATTGATTAATTATTAAATCAAATTCTACTTTGTATGAGCTTGTATTTAGAATCAACCAAAGCTAGTGGCATAATAATTGGAGGGTGTACCTTTTGGTCTTGACTCTTTCATTCTCAACATAACAACACAAACAAGTTCAAAAAGAAAGCTCATTGCACATGGAATCAATTGCCAGAAAACACAAACAGGAAGGAAGCATTATTTAGCAATCAATCAAAAGATGAGAGCTTCACATAAATAAGCTTTTCTTTAGGTTCAATGATCCAGACTTTTATATGGAATCACAACATAACTAACCCATAAATCTGTGGGAAAAAAGAGTAAGAAAAAAAGAGAAAAGGCTAATAACTATGGACTAACATAAGTCCTGATTAATATATTCACATAGATTCATGATCATATGGTATAGACAAATGACCGTAACAGCACTTTGAATAACATTTTAGCTACCTCAATACCTTGAGAAGTCTAAGTCCTCATAGCTTATTGAGGTTGCATCTGAAATATCAAATTGTAAGGCCCCAGTTGGTATCCTGGAAGAGTTCCTCTTAGCAGATTTTGCTCTTGTAGTTTTGGCATCCCACAAAAAGGTGGCATCAACAGATTCCCATTTGCTGCTGCTGTTCCTGCATCATTTTGGGGTTTCCAATCTAAAAATCCTTTAGCCATAGCACTCATTTTTGGCTGTGCCTGTGAGTTTAGACTTGTGGTGGTAGAATGATCAGGAGATAAGGATTTCTTATGATCTGGAGAAGGTGATTTAGTATCTGGCAAATTGACTGTAGTGATATCATGAATACTGGATCTCCTCTTGTCCTTCCCTCCAGTGCTTTGCCTTATAAAATACTTTTGAGCATGACTAGCAACCTGAGTTGGTGTTCGAGTAGTCACAAAGTTTCTTGATATATTTCTCCAATCTCCTTTACCATACTTTTGAAGACCCATTAGAAACTGTCTGCAATTAACACCAAAATGTATAGAAAAGAACATAAATTACAAAACAGATACACTATTAAAGTACAATTCCAAATTCCAACATTCTCAATCTATGCAAGATCTATTGTAAGCTAATAATAAAATGTACAAACATGTTAATAATAATGACATTATCTCATTATAGCACTGACCACCGACCTAATTAATAATACAAATGTAGATTAATAGCTCTACAAACAATTAATATGAAAGAGAAATGAAAAAATTTACCTATGCTCCTCTTCAGTCCAAGGAACTCCTTTCTTCCTTTCTTGCTCACAAGGGCGAGTAGCAGTGGTTCTTTTGCCTCCAGGAGTATAGAAATGTTTGAATTCACCAAAACTATGATCAATATGATTATTAACCCATTCTAATGTAAAAGAATCACTACTATAGCCAGGAATTGGGATAAGGCCTGCTTCAATATCACTAACATCTTCTTCCAATTCTCTGTAATGTTTGATTATATCGCCTACAGTCTTGCCTGGAATGACAGAAGCTACTTTGTGCCATCGATCAGGATCATCTCTGTCATATAAAGCCAAAGCATTTTCAAATCGCTTGTTTTCTTCGGGAGTCCATTTTGTAGCTCTGCTTTCTGGAAATAACCAGTTGGAATTTTGAAAATAAGAGCCTGGAGAGAGGATTTCAATTCCCTGATTCATAGTTTAAACTATGCAAAATAAAAGCAAATAACAGCATATATATAATTTAAACAATAAAGGTTATGCTGTATATTTCCCTCTCCCTTTGAAATTCAAAGAGAGAGAAAATACAGATAGGAAATGAAATGTAGCAGAGAGAAGTGGAGAATTTTATGAGTGAAGAGTAATCAAATCAAGAAGCATTTCTTGAATAGAATCCGAGAACATTTTTTCTTTTTTTTTTTTTTTACATAAGCATCAATTGAGGAATCTAAAAAGTCCCAACTTTCCAAAATCCGAGGAGAATTTGGGAAAGGGGAAAAAGCAGATCTTAATTATCTGTTTTATATGATAAAACCCTAGATTATAATTCAACAATTGATAAAAAAAAACCAGGAAAAATAAGCATCAAATCCCATAAATTTTACAACTTTGAACCTCACAAAATGAATGAGATTTAATCCAATTCAATTAAATTAAATTCAGAAAAACAGAGAGAGATGGTAAAAGGCCATTAAAAGTAGAAAGAAAGGAAGAAAGGAAGCCAACTGAGAAAAATAGAGAAAAACAGAGGATTCAAATGGTGGAAGTGGCAAGCAATTTATGCTTTTGTTCCCTTTCGGACTAAAGGCCAAAAAAGCAAAGCAGTGGGGTGAAAAAGGAAGTCAGTACAAAACATATGCCAGCTCCTTTCTTACTACTTCAAAAAAAATTATAAGAGAGAGTGAATTTTGGAGAGGATCTATAATAAAACAGGAATGACAGAGCAGAGCAGAGAAGAGAGAGAGAGAGAGAGAGAGAGAGAGAGAAGAGAGGTCAAAGATGTTGAGTTGTGATTGGTGGATATAGTGTTTGTGGGCGCTGTGGCCAGAGAGAAAAAAGAACGAAAAAAAAAAAGTAGAAGCTCCCTAATAATATGTGAAGACACAAAAATGGTTGGCCCAATGCAAGACGCGAATTGTAAAGGCTAGCTTTGTGATTGGCTAAATTTTCAAGTCTTCTAAAGAAGGTAGTTATGGGTATTTTTGTAATTTTCTACAAAAAGGTAACCAAGTACCAGCTTTGACATTGTTGACGTTTAGCTCAAGCATGTCACGATAAGTTTTTGTTTGTCAATAATAATGCTCTCTCTCTCTCTCTCTCTCTCTAAGTTCATTTTCAATAATCTCCTATCAAAACCCATGAAGGTACTACAATATTAATGTTACCTAGCTTGTATCTTGCACAGAATGTTCCTATGCCCTATTAACACATCTATCACTACTATAATGAGCTTTGATTTAATAATACAACCCATTAAAAACAGTCAATGACTTTGTGAGATCTTGAAATTTCTTTTATGCAAAAGGAAGATATCTTTTTATCAAACTACTAGTTAAAATGACTTCAAACTGTAAACTTAACTCAGACATCAAATTTAAGCTAAGAAAAAAAACTCAAGATCTCAAAGTCAGTTTTGCTACAATATTAGAAATTCAAGTCCGATATTAAAATTTAGGTGTCAAAATTAAAATGGCTCATAGGTTATAAGAAGGTTTTGAAATTTTTACTTAGGTATAAAGAAAAGATAGAATAAATTTTTTAGAAAAATGTTTTAAATAGGAAATTTGGAGTTACTCACAAGATGAAAAGTCGATCAAGATTCATTTCTTTTGTTCTTTGTTTCCATTCTATGAGAATTCAAGATCTTACATACGTAAACATGGCACCTTTAAGACTTTATTAGATTTGCTTAAAAGACATGAGATATATTGTAATAAGCCACAGTTCACTATTTCATAATCATCATAAGCATGGAAACGTGAATATAAAAACAAAATCAATCAAATATGTGCATTAGAATTCAGTCTTTTCATGGAAATACTTTGAGGGAATATTAATATGTATCGCATTAATCCAGTGCCTTCTTTAGGAATATCGAATCATGATTGATGAGAAAAAAAAAACATTTTATTTTTAATTACCAATTGAACTTGGATAATAACATTTTTCTTTGAAATATCATAAAATTAAAAAAAAAATAATAATTTTTTTTTTTAAATTTGAAAGTATTGAGCCAAATTTTATGACCGTTTGGATCTTGGAATCTATAGAACAAGTACCTTCCCAGTTAGTTCCTACATCAATAACCAGACCGCATGAGGCAAATATGGGGCTCACCATCTAAAAAATGACAATAATGCATTTAACACCACTCCCTGTAATGCAATGCTAGGGTTCATCGATCATTTATTTTCCAACTTCTATTTCTTGGCTTTTCTCGATTCCATCAAATGGCCCATTCATTTCTCTCTTCTTATCTTTTTATTTTTTATTTTTTGTATATCTCCTCTCTAGAAGCCAGATTTTGTACCTTCCGGTACTTGTTTATCAATGAAATAATAAGCATGCATGCAGCAATATAATTTTTCTTTTTTTCTTTTTTTTTTTGGTGTTACCACGGGCTTGTCTATCATTAGTCTAAAACTCAGTCATGCTCGCATCGGATGGGACCACTAAAGAGTAAAGTGCTTCTAGCCAATATTTATTATATACATAAGTATCAAATAATCGATCTCACTTAAGGAACAGAGTGCTGAAATACTAATCCTAACATATGACGATATAATTATTCTTTTTTTGACGAAGAAAGAAAACAACAATGAAAATGCAAAGTTGTATTTGATATGTACAATTTTCCCCCATGCATGCTTGTAGTCACTGAAGGTAAGACTCTGTTTTGAGTAAACCATGTTATAATATAGAATTGAGAATCTTTTTAAATGAATTTATATGTTGGTTATTGTAAGTTCAAAACTGTTTATGTTTGATATAAATTTAAATTTCAATTCAATATATGCTAATTGTCTAAAATATTTTTAAAAATATAAATAATAAAATAAGAAAGAAAATGAAAATAAGAGTTACAGATGGGATAGAAAAGAAGAAAAGGAAAGTTAGAAAAGCAGTAGGAGAGGGAAAAAAAAAAAAAGACAAGGAAAACATGGGTAAAATTAGGATAAATTTTAAAAGTATAAAATTTGTGATTTCAATTTTTAATTTGGAGACTTTTAATTTCACAAAATTGAATTTGTGGAAATTAGATATATATTTTGCAAAAAACTAAACATTCAAAATTGGGAATTCAATTAAATTTAGGTATAAATTTTTTTTTTTGAGAGGAAAAGTATAAAATTTATTTATACTTAAAGGAGAGTAATATTATTTTAGGTCTGAAAATACATTCTATATTTTTCTAGATTCAAGAAATATTCCATATATGGATTCCAAGTTAATATAGTTGGTTTGCTCAATAGATAAATTCTGCTTGGTAAAAATGGATATTTCTGGCTGTTCAACAAATTGATTTGAACTACATTATCTATCTATCTATAATGATAATAATAATAATATAAACTACATATAAAAATAAAAAATGGGTGGGAGAATATTTGGATTGCTAAAAATGCCCCTACTAAATTTACGGATTGACAAAAATATAATTAAGAACTTTAATTTTATTAGTTGAAAAATAAATTTAATTAATCTTGATTGGTCATGTTAATTTTCTATTTAAATCTAAATTTTATTGTATAAAATAAGAAATTATATTATATAAGACAAGGAAAACATGGGGTAAAAATTAGGATTAAATTTTAAAAGTATAAAATTTGTGAATTTCAATTTTTAATTATGGAGACTTTTTAATTTCACAAAATTGATTGTGGAAATTTAGATTTATATAATATTTGCAAAAAGAAAACTAAACATCCAGAAAATTGGGAATTCAATTAAATTAGGTATAAATCTCTTCTCCTCTTCTCTTCTCTCTCTAACGGAGAGCTTGAATATTTATTTTAGGTCTGAAATATACATTCTATATTTTCTAAGATCAAGAAATATCCATATATGGATCTCCAAGTTAAATATAGTTGGGTTTGCTCAATAGATAAATCTGCTGTAAAAATGGGATATTTGGCTGTTTCAACAAAATTGATTTTTGAACTACATTATCCTATCTATCATATGATTGATATATAATAATAATTTAACACGTACATATAAAAAAAAAAAATGGGTGGGAGAATATTTGGATTGCTAAAAATGGCCCCTACTAAATTACGGATTGACTCAAAAATATAATTAAAGAACTTTAATTTTATTAGTGAAAAATAATTTTAATTAATCTTGATTGGTTCATGTTAATTTTCTATGTTAAAATCTAAATTTATTGTATAAAAATAGAAATTTATATTATATTACTATATAAAGGAGTTATATATTAAATATGGTAAGGAATATTAAAATATAATTTTAATTTTGATTGGTTATTATTACACTTCAATTTGAATCTAAAATTTATTGGATATAGGATATATATTAAATAGGTAATTATATTACTATTTTAAAGGGATTTTAATTGTATTGTTTATGAAAAAAATAAAATTTAATTTAATTTTGATTTGGTTTTTATTTAAAATATAAATTTTATTGGATAAACACAATTAATATATAATAAATAAGAAATACTTATATCAAAATTAATTACATTAAAATAATTAAAAATTATTAAAAACTATATTCATATTATTAACTTTTTTATTATATATTTTCTAATTTACAATAGAGAGTAATTTTTATCATTATCAGTAGAATATTATTTACGTTGAGTTAATTATTATTTTTTATTTTTCAATAATTTTTTCTTTTACCATATTATTCATTTTGTTTATAAACATTAGTAAAAAAATATCTTATTAATATAGTGGGGAATGCAAATAATCTATTATGTGTCATTAGAATATTAAATTAATTTAACTCTCTCAACCCCCCCCCCCCCCCCCCCCAAAAAATAAATAATAACAAAGTTAATGTGCTTAATTAAATAGAATCTTGGCAAAAAAGCCTTATTCCATTAAGAGCCTTATTTGGTTATATAGCTTAATTAAATAGGGGCCCAGGGGAAGTGAACCAAAAATTGACAAAGTGCATATTTTATAATTTCAGCCAGCTGTTAGCAGTAGTGACGCGTCATTTGGTCAAACTAACCATTTTAATGCATTTGAATTCAATGTCAAATTTGGCTGGTATGAGCCACCAAAAAAAAAATAATAACAAGTTAATGATGCTTAATTAAATAGAATCTTGCAAAAGCCTTATCCATTAAGAGCCTTAATTTTGGTTATATAGCTTAATTAAATAGGGGCCCAGGGAAGTGAACCAAAAATTGACAAAGTGCATATTTATAATTTCAGCCAGCTGTAGCATAGTGACGGTCATTTGGTCAAACTAACATTTAATGCATTTTGTTCAATGTCAAATTGGTGGAGAGGATGTATTATTATTATTATTATTCTTTTATTAATCTATTTCTACATTTCTACATTTTTTTATTACCGTCAAACCACACGTTGATTCCCTCATGAATCGACAACCAATAATCAGGTTCGCTGTTTTTAATCAAAATAAAATTAAAAAAATACTTCCAATTTTTTATTCTGATTTATTTTGCACATAAATTAATATAATTAAACTATTATTTTTATTTTATTTTATTTAATATATCATTGTATTAGTATAATTAAAATTAATCAAACTATAATTGTTTATCTAATAATCCAGCCAATTGGTTAACGAATAAGTGGAAGATTAATTGTTGATCTTTAGTTTTATTTATATTAAGATTTAACAATGATAATTATTATAGTAATTTGATTAATACAATATTTATCGAGAAAAATCATATTAAATTAGAGAATAATAATAAAAATTCAAAATTATTGACTTCTGAA